AGGAGCTCCCACCAACCAAGGGTCAGCCCTTGTGTAGAGGGAGCAGAAGAGGCTGCGGATTGGGAAGGAATATTGGGGCTTCCGAAGCCTTTCCATCTTAGGCTCCTGTGCTGCCTTGTTTGCTATTGGGGGGGCAGGGTGGGGGGAGGCGGAGCTAGGGGCTTTCTGGCTCAGCTCTCCTTTTAATCCCACCCCCTGCTAGAATCACACCTCACTGGGGGATTTTGGAAACATGAGTTTTAATCTGACTTTCCCACTCTCTGAGAGACTTTGGCCAGACTCCTGACCTTCATGAAAGAGTGTCTTGCTTTGCTTTTCTGCTGAAAGGAATCAGATATCAGATGGCATAACTTATTAAAATATCAATCAATCAACCAAGAAACCAGTGTTAATGTTCTTTGGGGAATAGAGTGTGCTTCCCGGGTCTCCATGTCCTCACGGGCAAGGCCACAGAGCTAGGACTCAGCTGGAGAAGTGGCTTTTGTGGCCGCCTTCCCTTCCCTTCAGCTGTGCGCTAGGCAGCCGATGGCCTCCCTGGAGCCTCCCAGGACCTCAGCCCCACGGTGCCCAGCACTCCAGAGGGGCCTTCCCCACGTCCTTCCGCTTGGACTGAGAAGCGTCTGGCATGGTTGTCCTTCCAGTAACTGGTTTTTCTGTCTGTTCTTCATTCTCTGCCACTCCAACCCTCATTCTCCCACACTGACTCACTGAACAAACCCTGCTCCAGGTGTTGCACTGGAGTTCATGAGCGCAAAGAAGAGCATCCTTCCAGTGAGGCACTCCTGGACTGGAGGAGGAGATGGCAGCAGCAGCCAAGGAGCACATCACTGGAAGCCTACGAAACAGGGCCTGGGTGGTGGGGACACAGAGAAGGCGTGGCAGAGGGGCTGAGGCTTGAGCCAAGCTGGGAAAGGGGTTGGGGGAAGACAGCTCCTCAAGCTTTGAGAGAAGAATGAAATGCTAGGCAAAAAGCAGCCAAGTCCTCAAGACATGAAATACTTGCATTCTAAAAGTGAAGGACAAAAAATGGTCCTTCTTGCCCCCTAATGTCTATATTACCTTAGGGCCACCCCTGGAGGCAGGCACAAAGTATCAGCAAACAGGAACGCAAAGAGAAGTCCTCTGTTTGATCTTGCTCTTAGGAGATGTCACCAAGCTACCACTTGACTGACAAGTTGAACGACCCTTTCACAGGGGTTGCCCAATTCATAACAGCAGTTCTGAAATAGCAACGAAAAAAATTTTATGGTTGGGTCACTACAACATGAGGAACTATATTAAAGGGTCGCAGCATTAGGAAGGTTGAAAACCACTGCCCTAAGCCAATGGGTGGCTTCGAACCATCAACCCAACCATTGCTCCTCACAACCTTGAGACAGACGTTAGAAGTGAATTCGCTTAACTCCATTGTTCAAATTACAATCTAAGCCATTTCTCGTCCTCCCTACCATCGAGTTGATTCGGACAGGTTTGAAACCAAGGTTGTCTGTCTTCCAAGTCCCACATGTAAGGCCTATTGAGGCGGTTGCATTGGGTTGGGGGAAAGCTGAGGAGTGAGAGAGAGGAGAATGGCTGGTCACTAAGGTCATGGTCAGATATAAGATTCTGAGCTCTATTCTTTCTGGCTAAGAGTGATGAGTTCTAAGTTGTTCTAGTTGTTAGTAGTAGTTTTAAGTAGTGGAGGGGAATTGTTGGATTTGCAGTTAGATTGGTTTAGGCAATGAGGCTTGATATATCAAAAGTACATAGCTCAGAGGATTTAAAGTACAGAACAACAGAGTCCCAGCCAGCCCCTCCACACCAGCCACTGCTCAGAGGAGGCCATTTCCATTTCTGGATTTAGCTACAGAAAATCTTTCAAAGGTGGCTGATTTTGATCATGACCTATTCAGACTTTTTGTTCTGTGTTGTGTTTCCTAATGCAATCTTCTAATATTTTGAGTTTCAGCAATCCACTTATAATTTCCAGCAGACATTTTTAAATTCTGAGGCTGTTTGCACAGCCTGCTGGCTTTGGCTTAATGGATGTGGTATTTTCTCAAACCTCGGAAGATATTAATTAGAATGTGCTTTTCTCCCCAAGCTTGCTTCTGGTCTAAGAATGACCTGTTTCCTCCAAGGTCAATCTTGATTTCCTACTTCGTGCTGCTTGTTTTCTCTGTCTGACAAGCCTGGCTGCCTGTCTGTATTTCAGAGTGAAGGGCTAGCTTGATGGTTTGGGCTAGTTGGGGGGTCTGTTCTGGGGTTGTATATATGGAACTGCTTTCTCCTGAGTAAGCAACAGGGAGGCAGGAGTTCGAAGTACAGAAGGGGACTTGTTAACTCAAAGACAAATTCTGAGTAAGTTCAGAGGAATAATATTAGGGTGCAGGACCCCCAAATGCCAGAATAAACATGGTTCTCTCTCAGCTACCAAGACCCATGTGAAGCTTCAACATTATCAAGAATTATATTTAATTTGTTTAGATAAGACACCATTT